GATCAATCGACTTCACTGCCATTTCCACCCTCAAAGAGAAAGTACGCTGAGTTGTTATTCTCAGTGTAGACTATCTAGAAAGTATTTAAATCTTCAGGGGAGATGAACCAAGAATACAAAAGACAGTAATATGACAGAAACGTGTTTGGTTTGTTGAAGAACCACAGCCATAGAGTATTGATCCTTGGCTCACAGCCCATGCTGAGGGAGGTCCCCTGCGGAGTACTAATGAGTTCCTCCTTTGCTTTTGTCTTCTTCAACATTTTCAACCTAGGGGAAAACATCGAAGGTGAGTTTTTCAAATTTATGACTGAGAAGTAGCACTTATGTGGAAGGTTATAGTATCTCCCTTTGGAGATCCATGTCCTTTCATGTTTTTAAAATGTGTGAGCATGAAAGTCACTCACTTGTGTCTGACTCTTTGCAACCCCATGGGCTATACAGTCCATGGACTTCTCCAGGCCAGAATACTGGAGTGGGTAGCCATTCCCTTCTCCAGGAGATCTTCCCAACCCAGGGAATGAACGCAGGTCTCCCACATTGCAGACAAATTCTTTACCAGCTGAGCCACAAGGGAAGCCCCAAAACCATGATCTCTGTCTCAGTATGTTGAGTTCTGGGTTCATTTCTCAGCATTATCTTCAAATACAATATTCCATTCTCTGTGTCTTGTTTAGACTCATACTCAACTGAAGTGGGTTTTTTTAAAATGTCAATAGCTATATAAGTATTTTAAAAGTTTTGCAACTGGCTCTTTTTCACATTTATCCATGTTGTTTTTACATCTGTATTTTAAAGTATCACTTAAAATATTTTATTGTTCAATAACCAGGTCATGGAAGCAAGCTAAATGTCCATCAACAGAGGAATGAATAAAGAAGCTGTGGCATACATATATACCACAGAATATTACTCAGCCATAAAGAGGAATAAAATTGTGCCATTTGCAGAGATGTGGCTGAACCTAGAGTCATACAGGGTGAAGTAAGACAGAAAGAGGAAAACAAATATCATACATTAACACATATATGTGGAATCTAGAAAAATGGTATAGATGAACTTACTTGCAAAGCGGAAATAGTGACACAGACGTGCAGTACAAATGTATGGATACCAAGGGGGAAGGAGGGGCAGGGTGGATGGGTTGGGGTTGGCATATACACACTATTGATGCTGTGTATGAAATAGACAAATAAAGCAGATAAGTAATGAGATAACTGCTGAGACTGCGGAGCACAGGGGGTGATGCTCAGGGCTCTGTGGAGACCAAAATGGGAAGGAAATCCAAGGAAGAGTGGACATATGTACGCGTGTGGCTGACTCACTCTGCCGTGCAGCAGAGACTGACACAACATTGTAAAGCAACTGTATGCTAAGACAAAATATTTTACTGTTTAATTTTTTATGAATGTGGTTTCTAAAGCGCTCTGGCTGAGAATCCTCAGAATACTCATTTTTAAGTCTGTGCCAGGCTCCTCTAGAAGTTTAATTGTATTTGGGGTGATTTTATACTCTGAGCTTTGGTTTTATTGGCTGCCTCCCTTAGCATTTGATTTTCTTCTGTGTTTTGGAACCTGGGTTTCTAAGCTCATTTGGAAGACTTTTGTTTTCTTTTTCTGCTTTTCTTTCTCTTTGCTCACGTCTCTCTCCTTTGCACAAGTCTTTAAGCAGCCCCTGGGCTTCCAAAGTTCTCACAGTGGTTTTCAGAGTTTACATGCCATGCTAACACGGTGACCTTCAAAGATCCAGTAATCAGTCAGGTGACATGACTTAGTCACTGGCTTATTTACTCCTGATCTAGTTATTCTTTTGTCTCCTACAGACCAGCAGGCATTATAAATTGTCCTAGACAGCAGTGGGCAGTGTCTTTCAAAAATTGGGGTACATACAATGAAATACAGATATTAAGTATATAGTTAGAGCTTCCAAAAAATATGTACACTTGAGTAACCCGCACTTCTGTCTGGTATAGAAAATTTTCATCAGTTCAGAAAAATTTTGCATATTCCTTCCAATGAATTACTACCACCCCCTCCACCCCAATAATAGCTGCTCTGATTGTATTGCACAGATTAATTTTGCCTGATCTAGAACTCCACAGAATCACATGTTGTCCTAGTTTCTCCGGGCTACTGAAAAATATATATTTAAAAAAAAAAAATACCATGGACTGGGTGGCTTAAACAGTAAACACTATTTCTCACAGTTCTGGAGGGTGGGAATCCAAGATCAAGGCACAGATTCAATATCTGATAAGGACCTGCTTCCTGGCCCCCTTCTTGCTGTATCCTTCTGTGGCAGAAAGAAAGATGGAGAGCTCTCTGGGGTCTCTTTTATAAGGGCACTAGCCCCATTTATGGGGGCTCCACCATCATGACTTAATCATCTCCTAAAGACCCCCACGTCCAAATACCATCACACTGGGGCTTAGGTTTCAACAAGTAAATGAGGGGCAGGTCGGGGGCAGGGACACAAATGTTCAGTCTACCTCATGTGACATGTACTCTTCTGTGTGAAACTTTCTTCACTCAGGGTATTTAAAAAATGTTTTCATGTTACTGCATGTGCCAGCAATTCATTGCTATTTATTGCTGAGTAATATAACACTGCTTATCCATTTTCCTACTAATGAACATCTGAGATGTTTTCAGCTGGGGACTGCTATGGATAGAGTTGCTATGAATATACTTGTACAGAGCTTTTTTGATGGACTAATGTTTTTGTTTCTCTTGCATAAATATCTAGGAAGGGAACTGCTAGGTCAGAGATGCTTAGTTTTATAAGAAACTCCAGTGGCTTCTTTCAAGGTGGTTGTATCATTTTATACACCACCCCCCCCAACCATATATTGGACTTCCCAGGTGGCTCAGTGGTAAAGAATCCCTCTGAAATGCAGGAGGACTGGGTTCGATCCCTGGGTCAGTAAGATCCCCTGGGGAAGGAAATGGCAACCCATTCCAGTATTCTTGCCGGGAGAATCCCAAGGACAGAGGAGCCTTGCAGGCTACAGTCCACGGGGTCTCAAAGAGTCAGATATGACTTAGTGACTAAACACATAAATATCTAGGAAGGGAACTGCTAGGTCAGAGATGCTTAGTTTTATAAGAAACTCCAGTGGCTTCTTTCAAGGTGGTTGTATCATTTTATACGCCCCGCCCCCCCAACCATATACTGGACTTCCCAGGTGGCTCAGCGGTAAAGAATCCCTCTGCAATGCAGGAGAACTGGGTTCGATCCCTGGGTCAGTAAGATCCCCTGGGGAAGGAAATGGCAACCCACTCCAGTATTCTTGCCAGGAGAATCCCAAGGACAGAGGAGCCTTGCAGGCTACAGTCCACGGGGTCTCAAAGAGTCAGATATGACTTAGTGACTAAACAATAACAACAACAACCATATGTTAGAGTTCTAGTTGGTCTGTATTCTTGTTATTTGAAGCAGTCTTTTTCATTTTAGCCATTCTAGTAAGTGTATGGTGGGGTCTAATTTGGGCTTTAAATTAAATTTCTAAGACTGATAATGTTGAGAAACTTTTTTGTGCTTATTGGCCATAATTATATGTGTGTGTGCATGTGCACATGTGTTTCAATTGTTTGCCTGATTTTTAATCAGATGGTTTGTCTTATTACTCATTTGTAGGAGGTATTTATATACTCTGGACATCTGTGTGTGCTACTGGGATGGGTTGCCATGCCCTCCTCCAGGAGGTCTTCCTGACCCAGGGGATCAAACCCACGTCTCTTACGTCTCCTGCACTGGCAGGTGAGTTCTTTACCACTAGTGCCACCTGGGAAGCCCCTGGACATCCATCTATATGACACCATAAAAGGCAAAACTGAAGATACAGAAAATAGGTTAGTTGTTGCCAGGCGCCGAGACTGGGAAGGAAGTGATTAACCTACAAGAGGTACAGGAGAACTTTTTGGAGTGGCGGAAAAATTCTGTGTTTTGACTATAGTGGTAGTTACACAACTGTGTACAGCCCAAATTCCTCAAAGTTCCTCAGACTTAACTCTTAAATATCTTGTATGAAGAGCAAGAGAGACAGACAGAAAGAGAGAGAGAGAGAAAGTGAAAACACAACAGCTTGATCAGGAGGACTCCATCCACCCTAGCTCACAGACAAATCTCTTAGCTCCTCGAAGGTGCAGTTTCCCCTTCAGAGAAATGAGGTTAATGATAAGCTATCTCTGAGGACTATTGTGGGAATTCAGAGGGATCTCATCTGAAAGTGACTGGCAAAACAGGTGTTCAGTATGTCCCATTCATCAAGAAAAAGGTAAGTCAGGAAGGGAGCAGATAGGGGCCAAAATGTTCTCTGCCCAGAGCCTTATCCAGGTCATGGTGACCTTGGGGACAACTGACCTTGCCTTCTGCTGCTCCCAAAGAGAGGATGAGACACAGCCCCAGAAGCCAATCTGGTCCTGGGGGATTGATCTCAATGAATCATGCCCCCTGGGGCCCAGCTAATTTGTATATTTACTCGAGTCAATTTGGAACACTAGGTGGCAAAAATAATACAGCAATTATTTCTTCCAGAGCTGTAAACTTCTGTTTTGGGGGCTTCCTGAGTGGGTCAGTGGTAGAGAATCCAACTGCTAATGCAGGAGATGAAAGAGACGCAAGTTCGATCCCTGGGTCAGGAAGGTCCCTGGAGTAGGGAATGGCCACCCACTCCAGTATTCTTGCCTGGAGAATCCCATGGACAGAGGAGCCTGGTGGGCTACAGTCCATGGGGTTGTAAGAAGTTGGACACGACTGAGCGACTGAACAATGACAATAACAACCATGATCTAGCCTGGCCTGGATTTGGATATGCAGCTCAGGCATCCTGTTAGGCAATCACTGAGAGAGTCAATTAATTTCACGGCATTTTATCATGAGTTCAGGTGCAGCCCAATTTACAAGTTTTCCTTTCAAAATCATTCAGCCATTAAAGCTGCATAATCTTGGGAGGTTTGGAAGACACATAATTGATAAATGTTTTTTCCCTCCACACACTCTCTCTCATGTTTATTCATGCAGAGCGAAGGTTTTATAATTTACACAAAGGGCTGGTGTATCCAGCCCCCTGTGTTTCTGAAGGGGAGGAAAGATGACGCCATTCAGAAGCCACTGAAGAAGGAGATTGGAGGCTTGAAGGCAAGGACCCCATCCCAGGTTCTGATGCTTTGGCTGCAAATAATGAGCTGGGGACTTGCGGCACCAGGAGTGTTAGTAGGTACCCAAACAGGTAAATGCTTGTTGGCTGGATGGTTACATTGTGAAGAAAGCAGGGTTTGTCCTTAAAACACTTTTCTTCCCGCATTCCCTGTTTCTAACCATTGCTCCCTTTTATTGGTCTCTCTGCTTTTTAAAGATGCTGTAGCCCATCAGTTCTCAAACTTGACTGCCAATAAGCCATCTGGACATCTTTTAAATATCCAGCTGCCCTGCCTGCCCATCAGATCAATTATATCAGATTGTCAGAGGGCAGGGCATACACGCCAGCATCTTGTAAATCTCCCAAGACGATTCCATTGTGCGGCCAGGGCGGCAAATGACTGGGCTGGACCAGCGCTTCTCCGGGGTGGCCTGTGAGTCCCCTAATCTTTGAGGATATTTGTGGAAAATGCAGGCTCCAGGGCCCACCAGCCCTCTAAGCACTGAATCTCATGGTGGGATCTGAAACATTTGCTTTAAAACTCTCCAGGTTATTCTCAAGCATCCTTGAGTCTGATAACCCTACTCCTTGCACTAGTCCATCTGTTGTTGGATTTTTTTTTTAATGTGGACCATTTTTAAAGTCTTAATTAAATTTGTTACAATATTGCTCTGCTTTATGTTTTGGTTTTTTGGTCACAAGGCAGGTGGGCTCTTAGTTCCCTGACCAGGGATTGAATCTGCACCCCCTGCCTTAGAAGGTGAAGTCTTAACCACTGGACCACCAGGGAAGTCCCAGTCCATCTCTTTCTCATGATATGGCACTCTAGTCTTTCAGTTCCTCAAAAGTAACCAGCTTCTTTCTTCCATCTGCTGGACCTTTGCAAATTATACCTGTTCGACTGGAAGGCACTTTGCTCTCTCTTTGCCAGTGGGAAACTGGCAAAGATACCAGTGATGGAGCTGTATCTCTAGAAAGTCACTGTAAAGTGTGGGTCTTGGAGGAGAAAAGAGTAGGCACTGAAGGGCCATGGTCCCCTCCCTCGGGGACAGTGAGGTTTACTAAGTCACGCAACTGTCACTGGAAGTCACAGAGAGATTGCTACCGAGATGGTGGGAGAGAAGTCAGCAGGCTTGATGTGGGTTTGGAAGGAACATTACATACAAGGGTGAGGAAGGAGAAAAGACTTAGGTGACGTGGCACCAAGAGGGTGGTTTGCAGTGAAGCGGCAGCTCTGGGCAGCCGGGAAGAGCTCTTCCAAGAGACACCATAAGTGTTCCCTGAAGGACCAGGGGCGTGCAGTCTTGGAGGCCTGGGGGAGGGTGTCACCAAGAATAAAAGGACGAAGGGGGAGAAGGACAGCGAAAGGCAAGGCTGAGCGATGGGGGTAAACCTGGGTGGAGGGCAGAACCACATCGGCTACCTCACATGGACAGCGGTGATGGGAAAATGTTGGGGGAGGGCTATTTTAATCTCTTAAATCTAGTGTAATTGGGAAAGCATAATTTAACATTGGTTAAAATTTAGCTGCCTATCAACTGTAGATCTTTTAAGAAGGCTTCTACTCTTAGGACTTCCCTGGTGGTCCAGTGGCTAAGACTCTGTGTTCCCAGTGAAGGGGGCCAGGGTTTAATCCCTGGTCAGAGGACTAGATCCTGAATGCTGCAACTAAGAGATCCATGCTAAGTCGCTTTAGTCATGTCTGACTTTTTGCTATGAACAGTAGCCCTCCAGGCTCTTCTGTCCACGGAGATTCCCCAGGCAAGAACACTGGAGTGGGTTGCCATGCCCTCCTCCAGGGGATCTTCCTGACCCAGGGATGGAACCCGCGTGTCTTATGTCTCCTGTATTGGCAGGGAGGTTCTTTACCACTAATGCCACCTAGAAGCCCAAGAGATCCCACATGTGGCAATGAAGATCCCATGTGCTGCAAGACCCAGGGCAGCCAAATAGATAAATATAAATAAATAGATATTTAAAAAAAAGAAGACATCTCTTTCATGACAGTATTTCTCAAACTTTAATGAGAAAACCCATGGATTAACTGGGAATCTTATTAAACTGAAGATTCTGATACATTCGGTCTGGGATGGGGATGAGATTCTGTCATTCTAACCAGCTTCTGGGTGCCCCTGGCCTGAGCCCCATACTTCAAGCAAGGAGGTTTGAACATTGTGACTCTTTTTTTTTTTTTAATTTTTTTTTCCATTTATTTTTATTAGTTGGAGGCTAATTACTTTACATCATTGCAGTAGTTTTTGTCATACATTGAAATGAATTAGCCATGGATTTACATGTATTCCCCGTCCTGGTCCCCCCTCCCACCTCCCTCTCCACCCGATCCCTCTGGGTCTTCCCAGTGCACCAGGCCCGAGCACTTGTCTCATGCA